AGAATATACGGTGACATCTTGCGCGATTCTGGCAATTATAATTATGCTGTGATCAATTGTGATCCAACTTAATTTACAACAAAGTGGTATTAAAGCCGGGTTGTAAAAGATGTCAGAAGACAAGGTCAACATGATTATGCTCACGGCTACGAATTATGCAATATGGAGGTGCAAGATGGAGGATCATCTCTACATCAAGGGCTTGCAAAGGCCAATCAAGACAAGAATGCCTCCAAAGGGCATGGTAAAGACTCTGGCACTAGCTCCTAAATCAGCAAAAACTGGAGAGGAAGGAGAAGAATCCTCAAAAGCCCCGATATTAGCACCAGAAAAAGAAGAGGAGGAGGATGAGTGGACTATCCTCAACAAAAGATGTGTTGGCACCATCCTCAACAAAAGATGTGTTGGCACCATTAGAAGGTAGCTCGATCAAAGCATCTTTGAAAACTTCACCCAAGAAGACAACGCTTATGATTTGTAGAAAAATCTGGAGCGGACATACGCGAGGAATACATCTCAAAACATAGCAAGCCTGATAAAAAGGGTGTCGTGTCTGGAGTACAAAGATGAAACTAGTATCTCTGAATACATAGGCACTATGGGAGGTCTGGTGAATCAAATTAATGCAGTGGAGAGGATGATCACTCCAAAATTATATGCACACTTCCTAACGGGTTCTATGCCAAAAAGCTGGGACACCTTAGTTGTGTCAATTCACAATTCCACGCCTGATGGAGAATTGACCGTGGAGTTAGTGAAGGACAGATTGTTGAGTGAAAAGCAAAGGCGCAAAGATGAGGGCTACTACAACCATGGTGATAGAACTCTCGTTATAAATGAATAATGGAAGAAAGTAGATCGTGGGAGGAGCAAAAGTCGTAGACCTAAAGGTCGTTCAATCTCAAGGCCAAGGGCTAAGGAGAGGGTTTGCTTTCATTGTGGAAAAACTAGACATCTTATTAGAGATTGTCGATTGAAGGCAGCCAAGAAGCAAGTTGAAGTATCGGCTGCGAATGTCACTATAGTTTATGAAGACATGATGATTATCTGCACTGATGAGAGCATCAACTTAACATGCCAGGACACCACTTGGCTAGTTGATTCTGGAGCCTCCTTTCACGTAGTCCCCAAGAGAGGATTTTTCTCTTCATATACAGTTAGAGATTTCGGTCTCGTGAGGATGTGTAATGAAGGCTCGTCGAAGATTGTTGGCATAGGAAGTGTTAAGATTGAGACCAATAATGGATGCAAGCTGATCTTGAAAGAGGTAAGGCATGTTCCTGATATTCGCCTTAATATGATCTCCATAGCAAAGCTAGATGATGATGGTTATATGAGTCACTTCGACAAAGGGAAGTGGAAGTTAACCAAGGGCAACTTGGTGGTAGCAAGAGGAGTGAAAAATGTATCAATATATACCATACAAGCGAAGCTATGCAGTGGAGATGTTAATGCAGTGAGGAATGTATCTACCGAGCTTTGCCACAAAAGGCTTGGACATATGGGTGAAAATGGGATGAAGGTTCTCACATCGAAGAATTTATTACCAGGCATAAAAGGTACCTCTATAAATCCTTGTGAAGATTGCATTGTAGAAAAAAATAATAGAGTTGCCTTTAAATCTATTCACCATTAACAAGGGCTAATCAACTTGATTTGTTACAGACCGACGTCTGTGCTATGACTTCAAGAACTGCTGGTGGTGCTTTTTATTATGTTACCTTCATAGATGATTTTTCAAGGAAGGTGTGGGCAACTGCATTGAAGACGAAGGATCAAGTTCTTGATACCTTCAAGGATTTGCATGAGAAACTAGAAAGGGAGATCGATAGAAAATTGAAGTGTGTACGGGCTGACAATGGCGGGGAATACCGAGGGCCATTTGAGGATTACTGCAGAGTTCATGGCGTAAGACTCGAGAAAACAGTGCCTAAGACACCACAACACAATGGTGTTGCCGAGAGGATGAATTGAACAATATGTGAGGATAAGGTGTATGCTCTCCCATGCGAAATTGCCGAACTCCTTTTGGGGGGAGGCAATGAGGATGGCGGTAGATTTAATAAATTTGTCTCCTTCAATTCCACTTAAAGGCGAGACACCACAAAGTGTATGGAATGGTAAGGATTCTTCTTACAGTCACTTGAGGGTATTTGGTTGCAGGGCATTCGCACACATACCAAGAGACGAACAAGCCAAGTTAGATGGAAAGGCCAAGGAGTGCATATTCTTGGGATATCCTGACGAGGATTTTGGCTATATATTGTGGGATCTTGAAAGCAAGAAGGTGTTTCGAAGCCGAGATGTGGTGTTCTTTGAGGATCAAACTATCAAAGACCTCAAGAAGCATGAACAACCTCAAAGTGTGGAGGAAGAGTTAGTTGACTTGGAATCCATAGACTCATCAGAAAATTCTGTTGGTGCAGGAGCACAAAAAGAAGTCGAGAATGATTCGGTTGAGCAAATACAAACCGAGACAGCAGCCAATGATGAGGCCGCCGGAAGAGTTGTGGCCGAGACTAATAATGAAGATGGTGGAGGTGATGGAACAGAAGCTCAAGAAGGAGAAATAGAAGTTGATGATGAGGTTGAGGAGGAAGCGATTGATATTGATGATGTTCCTCAAGAGCAGCCAAGGAGATCAACAAGTGAAAGGCAACCTAACAAAAAATACTTCCCAAACGAGTATGTGCTTCTCACTGACGGCGGAGAACCCGAGAATTTTCAAGAAGTAAAAATTGATGTCCACAAGAGGGAATGGATAAAAATAATGCAAGAAGAGATGCAATCATTGCATGATAATCACACCTACAATTTGGTGAAGCTACCAAAGGGCCGAAAAGCACTCAAAAACAAATGAGTGTTTAGGTTGAAGACAGAAGAAAACAACCCCAAACCACGTTACAAAGCAAGATTGGTGGTGAAGGGTTTTGGTTAGCAAAAAGGAGTTGATTATAAGGAGATTTTCTCTCCTGTTTTAAAGATGTCATCCATTCGAGTAGTTCTTGGTTTAGCAACAACCTTGAACTTGGAGGTCGAGCAACTTGACGTAAAAACGGCATTCTTAAATGGTGTTCTTGATGAGGAGATATACATGGAGCAGCCCGAAGGTTTTGCGACCAAAGGGAAGGAAAATTTTGTTTGCAAGTTGAAGAAAAGTCTCTACGGGCTCAAACAAGCTCCAAGGCAATGGTACAAGAAGTTCGATTCATTCATGGAGAGGAATGAATACAAGAAGACGATGGGAGATCATTGTGCGTTCATCAAGAAGTTCAATGATGGTGATTTTCTGATTCTTTTATTATATGTTGATGATATGTTAATTGTGGGGCATGATGTCAGAAAAATCACGAAGTTCAAGGAGGAGTTGAGCAAGGAATTTGCCATGAAGGACCTTGGACCAGTAAGGCAAATATTTGGGATGAGGACATCGCACGATAGAGCTTGTGGAAAGTTGTGGTTATCCTAAGAGAGATATGTAGAAAAAGTTGTGCAAAGATTCAACATGAGCAACGACAAAGCAGTCAGCTCGCCTTTGGCTAGTCATTTTCATCTCAACACGAGGCAGTGTCCCTCAAGTGAAAGGGAGAAGGAAGAGATGCTGAGGATTCCTTATGCCTCTGCCGTCGGAAGTCTCATGTATGCGATGGTGTGCACACAATCGGATATTGGGTATGCTGTTGGAATTGTTAGCCGATACATGTCAAACCTCGACAAACAACATTGGGAGGCCGTCAAGTGGATACTCAGGTATCTTAAAGGTACATCTAGTTTGTGTTTGTGTTTTGGTGATAGAAAACCGATACTTGAGGGGTTCATCGATGCAGACATGGCAGGAGATGTAGCTTCCAGGTGATCTACGTCTGGTTATTTGCTGACTTTTGCAGGTGGAGCTGTCTCTTGGCAATCAAGATTGCAAAAGTGCGTTGCATTATCCACAACGTAGGTTGAATACATAGCCACCACTGAAGCTAGCAAAGAGATGTTGTGGATGAAGAGATTTCTGCAAGAGTTGAGGCATAAGCAAAATGAGTATGTTGTGCATTGCGATAGCCAAAGCGCTATTCATCTCAGTAAAAATTCCACATTTCACTCGAGGACAAAACATATTGATATAAGGTATCATTGGATACGAGAAATGTTGGAAGAGAAGCAATTGAAGTTCGAGAAGATCCACACGGACAAAAATTGTGTTGATATGTTGACAAAGTCTCTACCTACAAAGAAACTAAAATTCTGTAGGAAGGAGGCTGGCTTATCGAAGTGATAAGAAAGTTTAAGATCCTCCATGATGGGCTAGGGGGAGATTTGTTGGGAGTAGCCCAACATGTTCGGGAATCGATTTGAAATATCCCGAAGATTGCTCATCAAGAATACCTAATAGGAACAAGTCTTATTATGGTAGAACGCTGACAAGGAAGAAATCTAAATAAGAAATGTTATTTAGAAAGAATACCAGGATGGAATCAATTCTAGTGATTGTCTAATTAGAAGAATTCTAATCAATCGAGGAGATTTCTAATTAGAAGGTGATTTTCAATCAATCAGGGAGGATTCTTAACTTAGGTGGAGATCTACCGCTATAAACAGAAGGGCATAGGTGGAGGTTTCTGTGTGCACCGGAAAATACTCCGGAGAAATCACAAGAGTCTTCAACAATGTGCGTAAACACAAGAGATCTTGAGAGTTCATCAAGTGAGGATGTGTTTTGTGACAATTGTGAGGATTTATTGTGAGAAAAACACCGTTAGAGTGTTAATTGTAATCCTTTGATTATAGTGGAGCAGTTCCTGGATCAGCATCCCGTGATTTTTCTCATATTGGGTTTTCCACGTAAAAACTTTTGGTGTATCGTTCTTCTTTTGCTGTTCTATTTACATTTTTCTGCAAAGAGAATATACGGCGACATCTTGCACGATTCTAACAATTATAATTCCGTTGCGATCAATTGCGATCCAACTTAATTTACAAGAATTTTCTGGGTGGAATGCCGAAAGGAGTCACCTATTGGGCATGTTCCGCAGGTCCCATCCATCTAGCTTTCCAGCCTCTTTGAGAGCCTTTTTCCACTCTTGTATAGTCTCATCGCTGTACAGCTTCTTGGTTTCCTGCAAATACGAGGCCCCCTTATAGACCCCGGTTCGCAGTTGGACCTCCCGAGGTGCCACATCATAGAAAATGGGCACGATGATTTGCCCCCGAGTCTTCTTGCACTTCACCATGTGGACCAACTCCTGGAGGCACCATTTACTAGAGGCATAGCCTCTCGAGAAGACGGGTATGGAGATCTTTGACTGGTGGATCGCTTGGAGGAGCTCGGGGCCGATTTCTTCCCTGTGTTGGAGATTTTTGTTGTCTCTATACGCACGGATTCCCACGTCAACTAGGCTTGTGTAGAGGAAGTCGGTGATGCCCGCTCGGGTATCTGGCCCTCTGAAGCTCAAGAACACTTCGTAATCGTATCCCGACGAGGAAGCCGCCGTCCCTTCCTTTACTTGTGTCGAATTGATATCACGAGCAGGCCCACCTGCTGCCATTCCATTATGGACGGCCGCATCGTTATCGGCCCCGCCTTCAGTGGCGAAGTGACCTGCACTTCTCTTCATGAAATCCCTGAACAGGAGCGGCAAGAACGATGGTGGAAACCTTCACCCCGCAGGCGAACCACAGGTACTCACGCATTTTTTGTATCTCCACCAAAGAAGAGTAGTTAGAAAATGGTAACCTCACGTACCCAACAGAAGAAGGAATTGGTAATCTCTGTCTCGAGTCATTCCGCTTTGGGAAGCTGGCAGAGACAGCTAAATATATGCACGAGAGGGGCACGCGGAAGCTGCGCTAGTTTGCTACGCCTGGTCAAGACCATATGATGCACTGTTGCCACCTGACGTTACTGAGTCAAGACCATATAATGCACTGCGACATGCCAGTTTTAAGGTGCCAACTCTCCATACGTAAGATGCGATTCATCAGCAATTTCCTAAACGATGTCCCCATTGGAATAAGTCTTCGTTTTTCTTTTTGTTTTGACCATCAACATTTGAACAAGTCTTGGGAAAGAACATCCTTTGACTAAAATATATGTTGACTCTTCTCAGGTCTCCAGTACATGGAATGCACTGGCGCGACCATTTCCTCTTCTTTAACTTGGATAATTCAGATATATAGATTCATTTATTCTTATTTAATTGCCAGTGTAGAAACTGAATTAACCTATATCAAATATCCTCCTTTTTATCATTATTTGTTCACTTGCTTATTGGAAACATTAAATTGAACCAATCATCCGATAAAAAGTTTCGAAGAAAAGCACAAAAGCCTGCAAATTATTTCGTCGCATTGCATTTGATCAATCTAAGTCACTAAAGACGTCCGGGCCTTTGCTTCTCTTCTTAACATGAACCGTTTGAAAGATTCTTCAACGCTAATTTCTGGGCTAATTTGTCTAACTTTCAAATTAGACTGTCGTTTAATTTTTATCTTTACACACTTTATACTTTGCATACCATTTATACTAGATAACATTTCAATTTGAGTTTTTTTTCTCTGGCATCTGATTTCTACCCAAGCCAATTTCAAATTCCAACTTATATTATTGATCAAATCTAATTTGATATCTGTAATAAATATATAATCTAAGTTTTTTGAATGTATTTCCTATTGTATTTTGAAATTTTATGTAAGGCTACCCCCACTTTCTTATTTGAGTCAAGGGGGAGCTTTGGATTAACTTCAATATCCCAGTTCTATTTCCACTGACCAATAATTTTTTTTTAAAAGTTGACATTGAATTGTAATTTAGTTGTTCTATTTGTTTTAGGGAAAATTCCAATTAAGGACCCCAAATAGGGTCTTTTTCTCAAAAAAGAACCCCAAGTGGACATAGTGTCAAATAAGGGCCTGAAGTATCCAATTAATCTCCCGAAGTGCCCAATTAGTCTCAAGTAAGGGCCTGGGTTCGTCGGCCGATCAAATGCTCACCGGCCGGCGAGCACGTTACTGTTCCGGCAACCGAAACAAGGGCAATTTCGTCTTTTTATTTTTTTCCTTTTCCTTTTCCTTTTCTATTTTTTTTCTTCTCTTCCCTCCGCCGGCCATAGCCGGGGCCGGCGGAGGTCCCCGGCCTCAGGCGGAGGCTGTCCTCACCGGCGTCGGGCGAGGGCTGCCCTCACCGGTGTTGAGCGAGGGTGAGGGTCGCCCTCGCCCGCCCATCCCAATCGAGGGTCGCCCTCGCTCGCTGGCATCTGGCGGGGGAGGGCGACCCTTGCCAGATCGGGCGAGGGCAGCCTCCGCCTGAGGCCGACAGAGGGAAGAGAGGAAAAAAAAACAGAAAAGGAAAAGGAAAAGGAAAAGAAAAAATAGAAAAAGGAAAAAAATAGAAAAATACAAAACTGCCCTTGTTTCGGTCGGCGGAACAGTAACGTGCTCGCCGGCCTGTGAGTATTTGATCGACCAGCAAACCCAGGCCCTTACTTGAGACTAATTGGGCACTTCGGGCCTCTATTTGAGATTGATTAGGCACTTCAGGCCCTTATTTGACACTATATTCACTTTGGATCATTTTTTGAGAAAATGACCCTACTTTGGGTACTGATTTGAAATTGTCCCTTTGTTTTAGAATTAGATATGTCCTGTTTTGTCTTTTCTTCATATTGGAATTAATGTCAAGTTTACATTGGCTTAACTGGAAACATGCTCGAGTATGATAAATGTAGATCGACGTGACTTTCCAGAAGAAGCCTCGTTCCTAACATATAAATGAGCACGTTCCAACTCTCATTCATCCTTACTTCTTTCAAAATTTTCAAGTTCCAATGGTATCAGGTATCCCTTTGATACCTGAGTTGGATATATAGACTCAATTAGCGATTCGAAATCCCAATCGAAATCAGATGCCTCTGTCCAATGACTCGCAAAAGTTTGGTGAAGCCTCTCCAATGGCTACGACGACTAAGAAAATATCGACTCCTCCCGAATCTCAAGTATAAAGTTCTCTATTTCATATGATGCAACAACCCGGTCTGACGAGGGCGGGGAGTGGTCGCCGGGGCCAAAGGGTCTAGACAAGGAGTGGCTCATGGTAGGCTTCTAGGATGACGAATGAGGTAGGAATGAACCGAACTGTGCACCGAATATGGGAAGAACAATTTTGGAATATATATGTGAAAGCTGAAATTAACTCACAGAGGCGCCTTTTGACGTAACAGTAAGCTTTGCTTTGGAACTCCAAAGTTAAGCGAGCCTAGGCCAGAGCACTACTAGGATGGGTAACTTCCTGGGAAAATGTCTACTTATATGCCAAATGACAAAATCGTGAGGGTGGGTACGGGATGATGTCATGACCTACTCGTCCCGATCGGGGGTCAAAAAATGATTGGCTAGGTCAAGAGTTATTTGTCGATGAATGTGAACATTAATTGATTCGTTTGAAGGACAAACCACATAGTTTATTGATCCAAGGACCGAGGCACTTCCGAGTCTCATATCTCATGCAACGAGAATTGTCTAAAATAAGCATTCAATTGGAGTCGCCAGTAGCCATAATCAAGGGTTTGCTAGAAACCTTAATCAAGACGTGGGAGTATCGTCTCGATATACGTGAAAATCAGAGATTCCAAAGATTGGGGACTTGATTACACTAGCAATCTAACTAGTGCCCTTTCGATGCCTAAACTTGAAGATTCACAAACTAACATACCAGACAGCCTATCGAAGAAGCTTAAGATTCTACCTAACCATGCTAAAAATGAAAAATAACAACCAAAGTATTAAAGGTGCCAACCAAATAATCATAAAGAAAATAAGCAACTCGCGACCTAACATCATCTCTAAAAGAAGAAAAGGCAATCAAAAGCCCTAAAGTAAAGCTCTAATGACTTGTTCAAATTTTTGGGAATTTTTTTTTATTTTTAATTTTTTAAAATTTTCTGAATTTTTAATGTTTTTTAATGTTTTTCAGACTTTTTAATATTTTTTGGATTTTTAAACATTTTCGTATTTTTTTGGAATTTTTAATATTTTTGAATATTTTAATATTTTTAGTAATAAAATAAAAATTTCGGACCGGGTGACCCGGTCCCGATCTACCTACCTGACCCAGCTCTCTGACCCATTTAGGACCCCCTTTTCCTATTTTTTTTTCCTCTTTTTTTATTCTTTTTCTTTTTCCTATTTTGTCTTTTCTTATTGTCTTTATTTCTTCCCCTTCTGGACGTCTTCTTTTCCAGGACGCTTTCTTCCCCGGAGCTCCCACTGAGAACGTCTTCTTCTCAGTTTTTCATCGGCGACCACCACACCGACCCAAACTGGTCTCCTCGACTAGCGCCAACATCAAATATGCTCCGGCCAGAATCTCAACACCACTGTCACCGAACCACCATCCTTAATCCAGCACCACCAGCCACCACAACGCCAACTTCGATGATCTTTTTTTTTTCACTTTTTGATCACCAGATTTTCCGCGGCAACAATACGTGCTAAAACGCAAACAAACAGACATACGCGCATATGAAACGGAGATGGTGAGCCAACAGTAGCGGCATCAAACCGCGAGCAACACCGGCCTGGGGAATAGATCTCTGGTGAAGGACTCATCCATGGCCGACTCGAACGACGAAAAATATGCCACAAAACCGAGAGAAATCACAATGTCAGGTACCATTCGACAAATATGAGAACTAATCAAGTTTAAAAATCGAGTTCCAAGCACCGATTTCACAAAAAGTGACTCGGACCTCCATTTAGACATTTTATCAAACCAGTGGTATGCGGGGTTCAAGCGAAGACTTTAGGCCAAGATTCAGGGTGTTTTTTTGGCTTAAACGTGACGTGCAGAGACATAATCAACTATATTGAGCCACAACCTTGTCTCGGTTTGCATAGAAACGACCAAACAAACAAGACCAGATTCGGGGTTTCAAACTCGAAGAGCTTCATTGGAGCATTTCAACAAATAGGTGCGAGGTGCCTAAAAATAGGGGTTTCTAATCCGATTTCAGTGGGATTAAAAGGTTGTTTCTTGTTAAAAATCACTCAAGAACACTTCTTGGAGATGAAAGAAGACATTTTCCTCCTTTTGTGGTGCCGGGCGACCACCGAATAGACTCGGTGTGCCTGGCACCCGAGAGGCAGGGGAGGGGAAGCGAAAACAGAGGAGCAAGGCTAACACCCACCTGATTCATGGCTGGCCGGGGCGAGGTACGATGACTGGAGACTCGACAGCGACTCGGACGATCCTCTGGCGAGCGGGCGGGGCTCTTGGCCTCTCTTCTTATCCTCAAGATCTCTCTTTTTTCCTCTCCTTCTCCTCTCAAACTCTCTCTATTCTCCTTTTTTCCAGCCCCCGCCCCCACCCACACCCAATTTCTCTCTAGCTCTACCCCTCTTTATCCTTGAACGTTGCTCCTTTTCCTTGGGACCACTGGCTGCCTGACATCTTCCCCTTCGACACCGCGCAATGCTCCCTCTGTTGTGCGTTCTGTTGCTTCCTCGTACCGGCGTCCCCTTCTGGTCCCCTCTGCAGAGAAACGGTGAGGGGAAAGAAGCTAAAAGGAGAAAAGGACTGGGCCGGCCCGTGCCAGAAAGGGAAAAGGGAATTAAGACCGGG